TCCCATTTTGGGCTCCCTGCATGGAGCCTGCTTCTCTCTCTGCCTCTGTGTGTGTGTGTCTCTCATGAACAAATAAAATCTTAAAAAAAAAATAAAGTCGTTAAATAATTAGTTGCTACTTCTACCTCCCAGAACACACAGTAATGTTGCACATAATAAATGTCTAATAAGTATTCCTTTAGTTTTAATGAATCTCTCCTCACTCTCCCCACTAGAGCTAGCAGACCTAGTCTGTCTTTGACTAGACAGAGTGGCCTACCTCCCCCCCCCACTTTTTTTTTTTGAACTATTCACACTTAAAAGCAGACTAGAAAAAAATTGAAAATCAAATTGAAGTAAGAGTTGAAAAGAAGCTGGGGGCTGGCTGAGAGCTAGGTTTTTGGCTGTTATTCACATTCAGTTTCTTGTTTTACACAACATAGTCTTACCCATTATTGTATTTGTATTTCTTAAAATTCCAACTATGCCGGCTGGGGCAGCTTCTCTTCTCTTCAGATGTCTCATTCCAGTTTGGTATCCTTGCAATTAGGAGTCCTTGCCCATGCAAGCTGCAGCCTTCTCATCTCCTGTGGCCCCATCTTTGCAGGTGAAAAACCAAGTCAGCTTCATTTTTGCCCTCAATTTGTTTCCCAGCTTGGCTTGCTTTCTCCTAATGAGAGAAATGGGGGTGTTGAGGGTGTAGGCAAATATCTTGAAGGCTGAGGATCATAGTGCCACAATCTAGTGCCAGTTGAATGGTTGAGGGGGAAGGGGGCCCCGAGATAATGGAAGGAAATAAGTTGGAAAATTCTTTATAGCCAAAGGATTTAAGCCTTCATTTCTCTTCCTTTTGCCTCTCTCCCCAACCTGGGGACTCTTGTGTCACTTTGATGATTTCCCATACTCTTTGGGGTGCAAGTTAGTGTGCTAAGTGTCTACCACAAGGTGAACTGCTTTGAACAAGACAATTTCTCTGTTCTTTGCTTTTATCAAGAATTAACAAATGTTTCTCAGAAGAAGAAAAAGACCAGAATCTAGTCATATGATTAAATGAACGTAATGTGTGCTAAATTAGTGATCTGCTAGTTTGTGAAAACATTGCACTTAGAGTCACTGTTACTCTTGTCATTTAAATATTCATTTTATTTGAAATCCAAAGAAGGGAAATTAACCAATAATGACTATTTAAATTTCCCTTTAGTTCTGGTGGATGATCTCCTTTAAACACCACTTAAAAAAAAGATAATAAAAAAGACAGCATTTGGAGTTAGAAGTCCTAGGTTAAGGCCCAGGATTGCTTCTATGTAATAGAAGATGAGTCATTTACCCTTGCTAAATGTGTCCTCGTTTTATCTGCAAAATGAGGATGATTATTCCCCATTTCACTTAAGTCAGTTCTCCTACCTCCTTGCTGGTAGAACCATCCTGAGTGATAAGTATACCCAGTCCCTGGTTACCCTTTCATCTCCAAGACTGGGCTTCTCTAATCAATAAGCTTGAAGATCCTCAAATATTTCTCTGACACAGCTAGATCTCTCTACTCCAGAAAAGATCATATTTGAAAATTTAAGCAGACTATCTGGTGCTGCATTATTTTAATTATATATATATTATTATATAGAATATTTATTCCTTTTTTTTTGAGGAATTTTTGTATGCCTTTTCTTTTTTTTTTAATTTTAAACAAGATAAAATAGGGGTGCCTGGGTTGGTCAGTTGGTTGAACCTCTGACCTCTGACTCTTGGTTTCCCCTCAGAGTAGGGATCTCAGGCTCCAACCTCAGCGGGGAGTCAGACCCCCTCTTCTCTCTCTGTCCCTCTCCCTCCCTCTTCTATTGCCCCTCCCCTCATACTCCTCTAATAAATAATGTTTTTAAAATATAGATATAAAATTAAAAATGAAAATTATACATTCCTAGCTCCCAAACCCATCTACCAGAGATGACCACAACTCACACTGTGCTCTATATTTTAGGAACTTTATTGTTGTTTATGTATTAGTTTGGGTAGTTTAACAACCGTAAGAAATAGACAAAAATAAAAATCTGTAACAGCCCTAAGGTAACTGAAGGTTATTTCTTGCTCATGGGACAGTACTGGTGGAGTGACAGGTGCGCAGGTCAGTGCTTCTCCATGCAGTCACTCGGGCACCCAGGCTGCTGATCCAGGGGCACTGCCATCCTCGGCTCTTGTCCAGACTCACCCTGGGGGGATGGCTTTATTCCAACCTGCTGTGCTGGAATTATAGAGGTGTTTTCTTTCTCCTGGTGTTCCTAGCTTCCTGGCAACATAGCTAGCCTCCTGCACTCTTGGGCTGCAGTTGCTTCCCATCTTTGAAAAGGTTATACCAGCTGCCTTCACTTCTGACATCTGTCTCCATTTAGCTAAGCTGGCAGTTCATGCCTCCCCCTCACCCCCCCCACCCCACCCCCACCGCCCTTCTGTGCTTCAGCAGAGATTATATTTTTCTAGTTTTAAGATCTAACTGACACATAACACTGGGTAAAGTTAAGGTGTACATGTGCTGATTTGATACACTTGTATTACTGCAAAATGATTACCACTGTAACATTAACTAACACTTCCATCCTGTCACATAATTACATTTCTTTTTGTTTGTGGTGAGGACACTGAAGATCTCTCTTAGCAACTTTCAAGTGTGTAACACAGTATCATTATTATATTAGTAGCTATAATCACCATGCTGTGTATTAGATCCCCAGAATTTGTAAATCTTGTAAATAGATGTACCCTTTGATCAGTACCTTCCCATCCACCATCACCACCACCCTCCTCCAGCCCCTGGTAATCACCACAATACTCTCTATTTCTCTGAGTTTGGCTTTTTTAGATTCCACATATAAGTGAGGTCATACAGTATTTATCTTTATCTCAGCACAGATTTTTTTTTTAAGTCACTTGGGAGCATGAGCAGCTGACTGTCTTCTTAACTCAGAAAGCAGCTTCTTTTCCTTGATATTTTCTTGTGGTAACTCTTGTCTATGTTATATTTCCCCTAAGAAACCACCTCTTTTGCGTCTCCCCTCTCCTCACAGCCTCCTCTTTCTGCTCTGAGAGCCACCCGTAGGTTGCAGCCTAGTTGAACTAGCTGGAACCCACAGCAGTTGCTCACTTCTCTCTTTCGCTACCTCTAAAGCTGCTTCAGCTGGCTGCCTATCACTGTGACAGTCTCTTGAGCCACTCACTCAAGTCTGGCTCGTTCAACAATAGTCTCTCATGGAGCAGTTTGCCAGACCACAAACCACACTCAGTTTCCAAACTCTCCTAACTAGTTTAGACTTGATTGACAGCAGCCCAAACCCTTCTCCCTACATGGATAGCTCTGGTGATGAGTTTATTGCTCACCATGCAGAGAGGGAAGAGCTCAACTCAGCAGCATCTAAAAGTATCTTAGCAGGACAAAGCGAGAACAGCTATGGGATTGTGCAATAAAGTAGCCAACAATCCCAGTTTACCCAGGACACACAGAGCTCCCGAAAAACAGGGTTTTTCATTTCAAACTAGGACAGAATTTTATTTTATTTTATTTTATTTTATTTATTTATTTTAGGACAGAATTTTAAATCTACTTTAAAGTGGTTCTTTCCATGTACGATCTTGATTTTGAGGGATTCTATGAAGGTGTATGAACTACACAGACATCACACTAAGTGAAAGAAGTCAGATAAAGAAGATGCAGTTTCAGTTATATGAAATGTCCAGATAGGGCAAATTCAGAGGTAGAAAGCAGATCCATGGTTCCTAGGCATGGGGGAGGGGTGGGAATTAACTGCAAATGGGTTACTTTTGTCATTTGATAGAAATGTTCTAAGACTGGGTTGTGATGATTGCTGCGCAGTTCTATAAATTTGCTAGAAATTACCTAATTCTATACCTGCAATACATGAATTTTATGAAAGTTCTCCTCCAGTAAAACCGTTTTTAAAAGTCCAGGGCCAGAGGTGTCTGGGTGGCTTCGCTGGTTTTAAGCGTCTGCCTTTGGCTCAGGTCATGATCTAAGGGTCCTGGGATTGAGCCCAGCCTGAGGCTCCCTGCTTAGAGGGAAATCTGCTTCTCCCTCTCCCTCTGCTACTCCCCCTGTTCGTGCGCACTCTCCATCTCTCTCTCTCTCTCTCTCTCTCAAATAAATAAATTTGTTTTAAAAAAACCTCCAGCCAGATCCTAAGTCTTCTAGTTGTTACTATCAGTGAGTAGATGCAGATTCCTTTAGCCTTAGGTGCCATCCATAAGGGGAAAGGATACAAGTCTTACTGGGTTCTTCTGTCCTCCTTATATAAGCATAGGGAGTGCCTTTAAATTCTTTCAACCAATCTACATAGTGTTGAATACAATTTTACCAATAAGGACCTATTTCTAACAGTCATGAACTTCACTAATGCTAACTTTACATTTTTATTGGGATGTATATAAATCTAGGTATGTAAGTTGCAGACATACATGCTGTCACATCACATGCGCTAAAGTCTTAAGTTACTGGTACAGAAAAGAAACTCAAGTGAACTGTTAAGACTCACTACATCCACTACCTCCAAAATAGCAAGCGTCAGAGGAAGCTTACCACTCTACTGCCTTGCTATCATCCATCATTTAGTCTGCTCAGCTTCCCACTCCAGGGGAGGATCCATCCTATTAATAATAAAGATATTTGTTCTTAACAAACCATTGGAGGGTTTTTTTTTCTGTTTAAATATAAAAAGCTGGTCGGAGGGAAGGTTGTGAGACTACAATAAAGAGAAAGATCACCCATAATTCAAATGGACTGGAACTAGGTCAGTGATGGGGAGAGCTGAATAGCCAATGTGTCCCTGGAAGGAGCCTGGAAGAGCTTGCTGATGGGACTGATTCCCAGTAGAAACACTCCCTAGGGCACCACATAAATGTGACTTCTTCTCATGAACATTTGTTAAACCTGATTCATATTTTAACTTTGAGAAGAACAGAAATGGATGTATTGTGGTGAATACATCCATGGTGTATGGTGTTTCCTGTAACTCTTACAGAGAGATTCGGAATACCAGAAGCTTAACATCCATAGACCCTGACGCCCTAAAAGAGCTCCCACTCCTGAAGTTCCTGTAAGTATTAACTCCTATCCCATCCTACCTTGTTGGGTTGTTTGGTTTTTTTAAGAGAATTATAATGCTGTTGCTTGCCAGGAGTCACCCTAGGATGATGTGGGCCAGGATAATTTTAGTGGTATATGGTATAGGATGTGATTTATCCTGTGACTTACTCCCCACACTTCCCCATCAGACAAGGTATAGAGTGAAATGATCCACATTTGTAAAACTTATTTAAAAGTCAGCGCATAATGCTAGGACCAAAGGCTTGATCCAAGGGAAACAAGGGAGAAAATACCATGATACGTACAGTCTTTAAATGGAATGTAACAGAACAAAATAAAACAAAAAACTCTTGAAGGTCCATTGCTCAATTTAATTAGGAAATAGGTATCACAGCAATATTAAAGTGACCATTACACAGAAAAAAGGCCACAAAGGGCAAAATTCAAATTCTTGGAGGTTTGAGGGACAAAAATTGAAGGGACAACACTATTATTGCTTTGCTTTGGGCAGCTTAAGAGCTAACTACAAACTCCCTGAGAGCAGAGACCACAGCACTTTTGCTTTCTATTGTGCCTTTCCTGCCTGGCACAGAGTAGGTGCTCAGTAAAAATGTGTCCAATGAATGTGTATGTATGGCCTTAGGTCCTCTAGACACCAACTGGAAGAATCTGTCCCTTCTTCCCTTCTTTCTTGCTCACATGCATTGTAACGGATTAGAACACAAAAACATTATGAGAGGAAAAAATTAAAATCAACCTTAATCCCAATACCCAGAAATAATCATTATTAAGATATTTGTTTCCATCTAGGGCTTTTAAATAAAAGTGTATATCCATATATATCTTATGAATTAAGTCTTTAAGGATGAATAGAAGTTATCCAGGGAAAGACAGGGGCAGGGGAGAAGAAAAATACAGGTGGATGGAATAGCAAAATAAAGACACAAAGGTGTAGAACCATAAGGCTCATTTGGAGCCCTAAAAATAGTCCAGTATTGAAGAAGTGGGAGTGGGAGATGCAGGGAGCATAATGATGGGAAATGTGGCTGGAGGGGTATCTAGGAAATAAAAAAACTTATGAGACAAGGCAATCACTCTTGTGTGGACTTTGAGTTTCAATCAATCAATAATTAGTTGATATGATGTTCCTTTGATATCTGCGGGGCTCTGTAGGGAACCTGTAAGATAATAAAACATTGTTCTTACCTTCAAGAAGCTTAAAATCTAGTTCAGAAGATACTGTATATAAAATCAAAAATTTCCTTTTCTACTGGAGAATAATGGTAAGTGATAAAGGTACATACATTATTTGAGGGTAGAGTTAATTAGAGTACACATCAGAAAGGAGATGGACTTTTTTGGGGTTTTGAAGAAAAGAGAGGTCCTGGTCCCTAATCTGGGATTTTCAGCCCCACTATATGGTCCCCACTTAACCCCAAGACTTCTACCCCTGGGCACATACACATTTCCACATGAACCTCTCTTACAGTTGACTAGTTTGTTCACTGTTTACTGTTCTTCAGATACTCTTCATGGAATCTCAACTCTTTCCTTTGCTATCTGGAATATTCCATTTGCTCTTTGTGACAAAAGATCTCTGGCTCCTGTTTTCTCTTTAAATCTTATGCCTTCCCCCTCTAAAAGGAGTCAGGTCAGAATTTGCCTAAGAAGGTCTATCAATGGAACTAGCTGGGAGACTTTCTTTAAAGCTTTACTGCTATTAGCTAAACCTCACCCTATGCCATGCCTCTAAAAAAAAAAAAAAGCATCTCCACTTCCACTACCCATGTTCTAGTAGCTGCAACAAATGTTAAATTAACCAGGAGCCTGAGCGTCGCTGTATTCATACTGTTTTATGTACTTTTAGTCTTGATATTTTTGTCCTGATGACACAAACTTTGGAAAGTGAATACATTGTCTTTGATTGATTTTATTCCTTGTCTAGACATATTTCCTAAATGGCACTGCTGCCATCCTACTCCCAGGTGACTGCCATGGGAAAATAATTCTTGGCAAAATAATGAACACAATATAATGTGAAGTTTGAAAGAGGAAGCCTGGCTTGGAGTTGGGTATTATATTGTCTTTCTGGCCTATCCTCTCCTTATTCCACTGCAGCCTGGAATGTCCTCCAGTTAAAACAGGGAAATGTCACACACACACACATGCACACATGGAAAGAAACCTGAATTCCTATTTATAGGATGCCTGCTTGGTTGAAACAATCCTCATTTTTTCTAAAGAGAAAAAAATGTATTGACACTGGTGGATGGAATCAGATTGTTGTATCTTCAGGGAGTAACATTTCATCCAAGGGTTAGAACTTGCCCATGGTCACTCAAATGAAGGAGTTAGGATTTGACTCTAGGGTGACTTCAGAACCAATGCTTTCAGCTATTAACTTATTCTACTTCCTATGTGTTGATTTTCTTACCTTATTTCTGTTCCCTCTTCTTTTTCATGCACTTTAGTGGCATTTTCAACACTGGACTTGGAGTATTCCCTGATGTGACCAAAGTTTATTCCACTGATGTATTCTTTATACTGTAAGTATGCACACATGCAATATTTGGCAGTATTTTGTCACTGACGAGAAGAAGGGTGCAGCCATGGGGGTTGGTTGAAACCAAGTGAAGCAACTGTCTCTAGGGGAAGCAGTGATCAGCTGTGACAAATTCACTGGTGGATGAAGTAAGGCAGAGACTGGGAAATGACCACTGAGTTTAGTAATATGGAGCTCTGGTGATTCTGACAAGAGCAGTTCCAATGGAGCTCTAGGGTGAGGTCTGGTTGGAGTTGGCTCAAGAAGAATCAGAAGGGAAGACCTCGAGAGAGTGATCATTACAAACTCTTTTAAAAGGTTTTACTGGAGTGGGAATGAATGAATGAATGAATGAATGAATAAATAAATAAATAAATAAATAAATAAACAAACAAACAAACAAATGGTTTTACTATTTAAATAGAGCAGACAATATCTCAGTAGTTCAGGATACTAGATCAGGAACAAAGGTTTCTTTTTGTTTGTTGTTGTTGTTGTTGTCTGATGGGACAAATTATGGCATGTTTGTTTGCTAATGGGAGTGATTAAATAGAAGGAAAATTTGATGATAATGATGATACTTTATTTTCCACATGATGTTTAATAGCTTTTCAAATACTTTCCCATAGCATTATCATGTTTGCTACTCTTCAACCACCTTTAAGGCATAAAAGAAGTTATGAGTTTTTTTCCATTCTACAAATGAAGAAATGGAGGAATAGGAAATTAAAGTGATTTTGTGAGCAGAGTCTCATGGAGCAGTGACTAGTGGTGTTCAAACTACTTCCTGTGGCTTCTGATTGGTGGCCATGTGCCCTTTTCCAAAACCTGTGGCACAGTCAAGTGTCTTACCTAACTGTATAAAGATCAAAGGACTTATACATAGTTAAGTCTTTAAGTCTGCACTACCAAGTCAACAAAAACGTGGAGTGATAGGATCTGAACTCTCAAAATTTTGCCAGAAAAAAAAATTAACCATGCTTCTTTGCTGCAGAAGAACTCAGTTCAAAATGTAGGCAGATTTCTAGCAACTAGATTGGCACAGAAATGTTTTCCAGGAGCATCTGCCTGGCAGTGTTTTACAAATAGAGGACACTTCAGTAACACTCGTAGAAAGAAATCCACTGATCCCACTCTACCAACCCTTTTTAGAGGTTTCAAACACTTAGAAAATCCTAGTTGCTAAGGACAAAGTATCTGTCACAGATTTACAAGAAGTCTTCAAGGTCCATCTGCTCCCCTTGCAAAGAGGATTTAATTAGGGACTTCAGCCCACATCAAAAGCCCAATTACTTATTGCACATTTGTGGAGCTGTGAGTGTGTGTCCCTCTGGGACAGCTCTCACTAGCTCACTGAACCCTCTGAGCCACCAGCAGCTAAGAAGGGTCAGCGAAACTTAAAAATGAACAAGATTAAACTAAATTGCATCAAGTTCTTTATTTGAGTGCATAGGTGGAGCAAGAGTCAGCCCAGCACCAAAAGGAAAGCATTTTTTTCACCAAGTGTTTTTGTCCCTCTCTTGTAGTGAAATCACAGACAACCCTTACATGGCTTCCATCCCTGCCAATGCTTTCCAGGGGCTGTGCAATGAAACCCTGACACTGTGAGTATTGCCACTCCCACTCTGGCTAACAACTGAATTGATATTTGGACCATTGTCATATCTTACAGCCCCTCCAAGAAACATCAAGCATGTGCTTAATGATCTAACTAAAGGTTTCACATAGCTAAATAAGAGCTTGCCTTATGGTATGATACTCAAATAAATGATAAAATGGTTTAAGTAATTAGACAGGTATTCCCTTATATAAGTGGTAGGGCAGGCACACTTTATCTAGAGAAGACTGTTAGGTTTTACCGACCACATGGCCTTTGTGGCAACTGGTTACCTCTCCCATAGTGGGGAAAGGGCAGCCATACACAGTACATATACTAGTGAGCCTGTCTTTCCAATAGAATTTAATTTATAAAAACAAGTAGTGGACCAGATTAGACCTGCAGACCTTGCAAAATACAGTATTCTAGTATATCTCCATTGTATAGGGGAAGAACCGGGGGTTAGAACATTAAAGTGACTTATCCAAGGTCACTGAATAAGAAAGTGGTGCAACCAAGAGCTTTGCATGCTCTTTGCACTCACACTCAACTCAGTCATCACAACTATTATGAAGTTCCTACAAAGTCATATTGAATAGAAAAGAGTGTTTCTCTACATTATTATTTTTCAGAGTTCGAGTGGGTCCCGCTCTTTAGATGTTCAAAAGGTGGTGTTTATCAGAGAAAATTACAAAATGTTCTAATAAAGAAGTCTAGTAGAGGTATAAAAGATAAGTTATTTCCCCAAACTGATAGAGAACTCCCCTCTCTCATCAAATTAGCCACAAACTAGAGTTGTCCAAAGGATCCTTTCTCTCTAGCTTCAGTACTGCTGCCCAAGCTCAGGCCTGGTAGCTTCTTTGCCTGGATTGTTTCCCAGTTCCCTTGATCTGGTCACACTACAGTCCAGGGGTTCTTTATCATATACAAACTTGATTTTATTATCCCCCAGGAAAATTGATCCAAGCATCCCCACAACTCTTAGTGTGGGGCTACTTCCAAGTCATTCTATCAATCTAAGCCCAATGAAGCTGCCTCAACCTCTGAGCCTCTACTAGCAGTGGAGCATTTCAGTTCATCTCTCTCCTTGAAACATGAGGAGAGATCTTTTGAAAAGATGAGAGATTCTTTTCGGCCACCATTTCATTTGACAACACCCCAAAAACCTGGAGTCTTAGTGTGCTCAGTCCCAAACCTGAAGGCTATTTGCCTCCTTTGTAAAGGTTTCCATTGTGACACTTAACCATTTATGGTGTGTCAACTCCTTTCTCAATTTTTTTACCAAAGGTTACCTTCACCTTTCAGCATTTTTTTCTAAAAATCCATCCCCAGCAGCCCTCTCAAGTGAAAGCAGCTCCTTGTCCACTGAGCACAAAGCACAGTAGGCATTTAAAAAATATCTGAATGAGGGAATCTTATGCTTTCTGAAATCGAGAGTTGTGGATGGCATTGGTTGCCCATTATCTTTTCAGATGATTATTTTTACATTTCTGAAAGTCCTTGCTTTTTTGAAGTTCATGCTCAAAAAAACTGCATGAGGCTGTGCGTCCAACAGCAAATTTGTATACATATTCCTGGTAGGATAGAGTTCCAATCAAAGTTTGCAATCCTTTTTTTTCTTCTTCTTCACTATTTTTTCTTCCTTCCTCATTTTCCCTTTCCAAGGCCAATTTTCCCAAAAAGAGTTTTATTTAATCTCTGAAATGTAATTCCAACAAAGAGTATTTTCATTGTCTAGGACTCTTAACAAAGTTTAGAAAAATAGGAATCCCAAGTATATAATTCTCACACATACATAAAAGAACTCTAGTTCAGAAAAAAAAATAACTTATCTCTCAGAACTCTCTTCAGCCTCTGTGCCTAGCATCCCTGTGTCCTGCAGTCCTAACCCGGGACATATTAGTAGCTAGAATTAAACTCATTGTGTGATTATTATTTAAAACAAATCAAAAATAACAACAAAGATTACTCCCAATTCTTCACAACAGTGGAGGATAAATCCAATTTTTCAGGGTATTCCTTTAATGTGGTCCTCTTGTAAGTGCCCCACACTCATAAATATACAGCTATTTGATCCTCAGCAACTTTTTGATTAGGTATTATTATCAATCCTTACAGATAAGAAAACCAAGAACAATAGAGGTTAGGAAATTCTCAGGATCCATATACTGTGAAGCAACAGAGCCATGTCTAATTCCAAATTTAGAGTCTCTTGTAAGCTTCCTAATACGTCACCAGAGTTGATAGGTGGTGGACAGAGTCATTTTCAGAGCTCCCCTACAATTGCTACTAGTTGTACTTGACTGGGGTCATGGCTGCCTTCTCTTATCACATGCCAATAACCCCCATGCATCCTTGTGGAGACAGAGCTTCCATGGCTAGAGCTCCTTCTCCTCTAGGTGGGTGGGGAGGATCACTTTTGAGGTCACAAATCCTGAGTCCCAACAGTGCTATATCTGTGTGTCTTTCTTTGGCGAGTCCCCTTCACCTCTTAGTAGACCGACTAGGAGACAGAGGAAAGAGCACTTCAGTCCAGCCCATGGAATCACTGCATTAATGAACTAGGTGCAGAACATAGCAACAATTTAAAACATCAACATTTCCACAAAAGGACATGGTCTATCTACATTCTTAGATTTGTCTTTGAAGTTCAACTCAATTCAGCCTGCAATCATTAAGCATTTAAGCTATGATAAGCCCTGAGGATAAAAATATGGATAAAATACAAATGTGAAACAACAGTTTAAGCAGAAAAATATAAAACCAATGTATGTATTCATGTGAGCAGTGTCTTTGAAAATGTTCGTCTTAAGAAACTGAAGTTATTCCTCCATTATTGACATTGGGTTAACTATTACCTGAAACTCTTCTTTTTTGGGTATAGGTAGAATATTTTTTAAAAATTCTTACCAGTGGCAAGTCATTGCTTTTCTGAGAAACAGCTTGAAGTTACTAGGAGCTGTCTGGAAAATGGGGATTCAAACTGGGAAATATTCTATGTCTGAAGCAAAACATACTGTAAAGTTTTCTTATGGGACCTGAGAACCTTCATGCACATTTCTGATTTTGCAGAAATGAACCCCAACCCTCACTTCTTATAGGTCACTGATTCCTCCTCTTTCTGTTGATTGTAGGAAACTATACAACAATGGCTTTACTTCAATCCAAGGACATGCTTTCAATGGGACAAAACTGGATGCTGTGTAAGTCAAGGGTAGCCATGGAAACCACTATCTTCCTCCACATTCCCAACCCCATCCAATGGGGGAGCATCCAATGGGTCAGAATTCTGTTAGAGAAAGGTTCATCCAGAGCATTCCTCAACCCCAGAGTGAGTATGATCAAAACTTGGGGATGATGTTAAGGAACTTGACAAGAGCCAGCTTTAGCAAACACTTACAATAACTCCAATTCTAAATCCCAAAGCTTTTATCCTTGATAAAATGGAGAACCAGGGTGTCACCTTCGATTTCCTTGTAGGAGTGTGTGTGTGTGTGTGTGTGTGTGTGTGTGTGTAAATGTTCTTGAGGGTACATTGTATAGGTACAGGAAGTAAAGCATGTCTTTAATTAAGTCCAAAGCTGTTCAGAAAGCAAGGTTTTTCTTTTTAGTTTTTTCTGGCACATTTTCAGAAAGATTTAGTTTATATCTGATTCCTTCAGAAATAGCTAAAAAGCCATATCCAACTTTTGCCTGCCCCCCAAAAATAAATAATGCCTAAAATGTTGGCAAAAAGAATGTCACTTACATACGGTTCTGTTTGCTGTACTTTCCTGTCAGGTCTTTGTGGCCCCCAGTATCTACACGAGGGCATGCTTTGTGTCTAAGAGCTTGTGGACTGGTTCAGCCATACTAATTTGTGTTTTAACCTAATATCTAATAAGTGAAAAAACAACTTTAGTAGAGTCTGCTTCCCACATTTTGGTGGACTAATTAATTTGTAGAGCCTTCCTACTATAAAGCAACTAGATCATACATTTAAAAAAATTATATTCTGTCATAGCACCAAGAAAGGGAAATAAACTAGCAAACCAGGAGCTGAAACCAAAGTGCTGGATGCTTAAAGAAGGTTGAGTTTGTTAGGGACAGCAACCAACATCAATGGTGCCAAGAGGCAAGGCTGTATGCAGTGCAGTGAGAAGACAGGGAAGTAATATAAACCTGAAACTCCTGGATTAAGCCAGCGAACCTGGATAAGAGCTGGACTGGTACCACCCTTGCAGTATCTTCTGATTCCTGGCAGAAATAAATGAAAACCTTTGCAGAGGGGAAAAAAAAAACAATGAAGGCCTCCAGCTTTTTTAGAGATCTAGACCCATCAAAATCAGCCAAACTTCACACATAGGAGAAGAAAAAACCACCATGGTAAGAGTCAGCTAGAACAACAAACCACAGATTTTTGTGTTTATCTTATAAAACATCACTGAGTATTTTTTTTCAGTTCCAGAATTTCTATTTGCTTTTTCAAAACATTTGCATGCTCATTTTTGACAGTCTTATTGCTTACTCTTTTGTGACTCCACCTTTTTCCCCCTTTAAATATTTCATACACAGTTATTTTATATTCTGGAAGTGGTCATCACAAATCTGAAGGCCTATTGTCCTGGATCCATTGTGTTTTACAGGGCTTCTCAAACTTTATTGAACATATAATTCATCTGGGATCTTATTTAAATGCAGAATCTGATTAAACAGATCTTAAGTGGCCCAGAATTTTGCATTTCTAACAAGCTCCCAGGTGATGATGATGATGATGATGATGCTCCATGGACCACACTTAAGCTGGGTGAGGTGAATAACCTACACAATCATATGCAGTGACCTTGGGTGCAAACAAACAAAATACATGTAAATGAAGTGGTCTTGTTCTTTTTTTTTTTTTTAAGATTTATTCATTGTTTGGTTGATTGAGAGAAAGAGAGAGTGCACATAGAGGAAGAGGGAGAAGCAAGCTCCCGTCTGAGTAGGGAGCCCTAAGCGGGGGCTCAATCCCAGAATCCCCCCACCAAGATCATGACCTGAGCTGAGCTGAAGGTGATCCTTAACTGACTGAGCCACCCAAGCACCCCAAAGCAGTCTTGTTCTGATTTGGGAGTTAGGTGGTGGGTTCTGATAAAATTCCACTTTTAAAGAATAAATGCTAATAAGTTTGGAAATCATTATACCTCAGCATGGCTTTCTGAGTTTGTTTGAAGTGGATTCTCACTTTTTGCCAGGCTTTTGGTTTTCCTCATAGTCTTTATCAAATAGATATTAGAATACTTTCTCTAAATTGTCTCAGTCATGTTATTAGTCATTTTTTAAAATGCACAATTACCGAGGAAGTCTGAAAAGACTCAATAGAGTGATAACATGAATACTTATACATCAGTTTTATTTATAGTATTGGAAAGACCTTACTTCCATCTTAACTTTATCATACAAATATCATATAACCCTTCATCCATTTTTCAATATTTTTATTGAACATCTACAATGAGCCAGATACTGTGCTATTTATTGGTGATGCAAAGATGAACAAGATCAACGTGCTCCCTGCCTACACTGAGCATTCATTCTAGTGGTGTCATCTTGAGGGCAGCAATATTAGGGCCAAAGTACACTAGGGAGAAATGAACCAAATCCAAAATGTGTATTTGAGATTGAAAGTGACTAAATACTAAATATCCAATAATACCAACCTCCTTAGTTGGAGATATAAGCATGATTTCCCCAAGATTTATTGCATTTTTAAAAATTACTAAGCATTCAACCTTAATACTACATGAATCTAACCAAATATTTTCCTCTTTGATTCAACTATTCCTAGAAAGCCATGGCCTTAAGGGTAATAATCATCCAAGTTCAGATTTTCTGTGAAGAAAGTGGAGAATTGGAACTTCTTAAAATACAATTGGCAGATACTTATGGCATAAAGATTTCAGAAAACTATCACACCATTCTAGATAGCAGGTGCATCAAGATGTTAGCATTAAGGCAACAGAGAACCACACTAGCAAGGGCAGGGGTAGGGAGGGTGAAGAAACCTTCAACCAGGGAGACCAGATCTGATAATAAGGCTCCTGAATTCAATGTGTCCAGCTGACTCTTTCCTGAACCACAACTGTCTTTCCAAAATGCTAGATCAGATAAAGAACCAGAAACAAACCTTGGATATAGGGTCATTTATTAGTAAAAGTTTTATTATTCACAAGCAAAAGATGTTAAAGCCCATGATTAGGAGCTAGGTTTTAAATTATTTGCCTCTTTATCCTTCCTGTCTTTGGAAGGTCTTACCTTCAATCACTCTCAGTTATCATTTTTTAAAGAACAGCAATATGGGGTACAAAATTCAGCCTTTAAGGTCTAAATAGCATAGTTCTTACTACTGGCTGAATATTGAAATTACCTGGCAGATTTGAAAGCACTGATGTCCAGATTTTACCAACAGACATTCTGGTGTGATTGGTTTGGGTGTAGCCAAGGCATGAGGATTTAAAAAATCTCCCTAGGTGCAGTCAATGTAAAGTAAAAGTCAAGAACCAACCATCCCCTATGACTCAGCAATTCCACTACCACCTATTTATCCAAAGATACAAACATAGTAATTCAAAGAGGCACCTGCACCCCCATGTTTATAGCAGCAATGTCTCCAATAGCCAAACTATGGAAAGAGTCTAGATGTCCATCAACAGATGATTGGATAAAGAAGATGTGGCAGATATATAAAATGGAATATCACTCAGCCATCACAAAGAATGAAATCTTGACATTTGCAATAATCTGGATGGAACTGGAGGGTAAGTCAGTCAGAGAAAGAGAAATACCGTATGATTTCACTCATCTGTGGAACTTAAGAAGCAAATCAGATGATCATAGAGGAAGGGAAAAAAAAACTAAGATAAAAATTGGGAGGAAGGCAAACATCAGAGATGTTGAACTCTAGGAAACAAACTGAGAGTTGCTGGAAGGGAGATAGGTGTGGGGATGGGATAACTGGGTGATAGACAGGAGAGTATGTGACGTAGTGAGCACTGGATGTTATATGCAACTGATGAATCACTAAATTCTACCTCTGAAACTAATAAAAACAAAACACGAACAAAACAGAAAGTTAAGAACCACTGCTGTGGATTATGTTATCGTTCTTCTTGTACAATAGTCACATTTTGCACACAAAGGGAATGAAGCCAAGAGTGAACACATGGCTTTTTAAATTTTTCCTTAACATGGGTTTTTTAATTTGATAGAACTAGCTAGTGGCCAAGCCAAAACCAGGACCCGGATTCCCCGGTTCCGAGACTCTTCACTGAACCCTGCTGGGATTCGTCATTGTGGACTTAGCAGCCACCACCTAGGCTTGGACATCCAACTCCTCTGCCTACTACTTCTTGTTACTTAGCTCAAGAGAATGGGCTAAGAACACTAAACTAAGAACACTTCTTAGCTCAGTCTGTTACAGGCATGAAATACAGAGGCTAAGATATCATATAGCTGAAGAGTCCACTCTTGAGAGAAAAGAGTCCACTCAAAACTCAAGGCATAACCAGTAGAAATTTCAGAAAGACTCACACCAAGCAACAGTGTCATTCATCAATAAGAACCTGACATTATCAATGCAGCAAGGTCACCAACTTAGCGAACTTTCAAATGAGGTCTGAGTGAGAGACACCTTAATGAAAGGGCTGGTGTAAAAATTTTATTGAATTCAAAGAACTGGGGTTAAAGTTAGGCTACGTACGTTGACTATTTTACTTCAAAACATCTCATGCTTAGTCATAAATTGGCCTTTTGTTATGTTTAAAGGACTCCACAAAAACTTCAAGAGATTTTTAAAGTGAATCTTCTGTATTCAGGAGACTATTGTGCTCTGTGTTTCTCAGTGTAAGTCTAGCAACATATTATTTTATGGCTCCAGTCATAAAATCAGCTGCAGAATGTCAAAGGAGTTTAGAGACACTTTCTAATGAAAAGATGGAAACACTAACAAGAGAGCAATAACTTCTATTTTATTTTTTATTTATTTTTAATAACTTCTATTTTAGATTCTCCCCAAGTCTTATGGCATTTTCCAAATTATGTTACTTGAATTCTCTTTCCACGGTAAATTAATGTATGTTATTTTTAGAAAGCTATCCATAGCCTTATAAAGTTCAACAAAGTATAAAAGTGGCCTTATTGGGTCTTTTTAATAGGACAATCTGAATTACTAGTGTCCAAGATG